TTTTTAAATACAATTACCAATGTTTCCTTTTTTTTTTTATTTTTATTTTTTTTACTAATAACCGGTACATTCGTTTTTTTTTTTGTTCATTTATTATAATGGGTAAACCCCCCCCCCCCCCCCCCCCCTATTCCAACTATTTCTCACACAACAACTACTGCTGTTGTGCGGCCAATATTATCACTGAATCTAATAATGGTTGCTAATGTATGGCTTGCCCCCGTTATGATAAGCTAAGAGGTATTTATGTAGGTATGCAGCAGTCGGGGAGGCCATGAGATGGCTGCAGCTGCAGATGCAAGAAGCCGATGCACCTGACAGATGGGGTTACCTGTCTTTATCGAAGTGAGTAAGGTATGTACCTCACTGGCATCTCAGCTTGGATTTTCTATCGTGGTACAGCATAACTCTATTTTGGCACTTTCTAATAGTCCCTGGCGAGCAGAAGTAAAACTGAGGAAGATTGCCTGAGCTAATTCGATGGACTCGTCCTATAATGTAATACTTAGGGGGCATGGGTATACACGCATTCGGCTACTAGCAGAGGCATGGAGCAACGGTATACAGTTAAGCATTAAGTTACCTGGCATGAATATGTGGTATTCTCGTCACAAAAGCCTCTGTCTTCTGTCTATCAATAAATGGAAATTAGAACTTTTAGCTGTGCTAACCGATAACATAGGTACCATATGTGTACCTATGCAAATGCATTGGTTTCTTATGATGCCTGCCGCATAAATATATAATTGGTATATAGACAAACGGCATCGTTGGATACCTAATGCGTGATGCATGTCTCGATGTCTCAAAAGATAATTCCGCTTATCACGTCTGCCCGTGTTTTTGTGTTCCAGAACATTGGATCGAGATGGCTCATGAAAATGCGTACGCCCCTTATCCGACCGTAGTAAGGGTAGCACATCATACTCTTATTGGGGGAGGTGGTATGAGCGTCACTGGTGGGTTTGAATATCCATATACATACCAGACGCTCACCGTCTACTCCGCTCTAGTAGAGATATATACTTATATTCTCTATCTAGGTGGTACCTATATATCACTCATAATATCTCTCTATTTATCCGCCTGGACGCCTCTCCGGTCGGACAACGGGTGCGTACATGCAGCAAGCGATTGAAAGCCTGCAGTACGAGTCTTCCTCGGGCCGCTATATCAACATCAACACCTTGGCATAAGCATCATGCCGCGTTGGGCAGATAGACTTGCCTGTCTACCCAGCCTACCTAGTGATCTGAATATGAAAGTACGGAGCCGGGACGCGTAATGCGAGCTTGAACTTGTAAAAAAAAAATACGTCGACTCGGTTCAGCTAGCCCGGAAAACCAATAATGCTAGTGGAACTCAGCCTAGAGATACGTAAGAGTGGTGGATACATATCGTAGGACGGTGTTTTAGCATTATTTCGGCATCATTCTGGCCATTGCGGCCTGGTCAAGAATGATATTTATATCAGTCCCGTACAGTAATTATAAGGACAATTTCAACTCGAGAAACTGCTGAGGTTGATACTACACTGGCCGGACTGTCAGACTGAGGTAAAGGGGGTAAGATAAGACGCACCATTAAGAACACATAGCTAACACTGATCTTCTTGTTGGAACTTTCTACACTACTTGATATAAGGTGGTGAAATCGCGGTGAGTTGTATCCAATGTAGTAGCTTTGATGTCAATTTGAATTTGGTATGTCGATTAAGTAGATAATAGGACTGCCACTGCTTTATAAGAACCCGCCAAAGCTATATTTACGTTATGGGAATTATTGTTAATGTACAACGAATACGACTCGTATAGGGCAAATGTGGCCATTAATACTATTTTCTTACTCTTTGAGAACTATCTCAGCACAATTCCATAGATTTATAGGACTCGAGTCACATTGATGATAACTATCGAAGTATGGTAGCGTTGGAACAGATCGTATTGTTTGTCTCCGGGGCCCTAAAGGCTTACAAAAAGGGGCAACACAATACATAGCAAAAGACAGGCTAGCCGCAATAGCGACACCAGCAACCATCTACACGGGGGCACTATAAACTGTCCCATTCATTCGTATCTCCAAACCGAGACGCCGTACCGTAAAGATCCAGCCCAGCACTCGTCCCACTGCGATTCCAAGGTCGCAGCAGGTGGTATGAAAAGAATCAACAAAAGCTGGCTTGCCGACCGACTAACAATAGCAAAGAAAAAAAAAAAGTCCAGACCAAGTAAATACTAGAAGTAGTGTTAAGCAGACGAGTATATCCCCATTTTGTCACGCATTTCCCATATCCCATCATGATGGTAGACGTCATGTTAGATCGCGGCTAGATTAGTCTCGTAAGGCATTTTCGTCGCCGAACGGGCTGCCGTCTCGCCCTGTCAAGGATTTGCTTCTGTCGACCCTTCTGTTCGAGTCTCCCATTACTGCACTAAGGGAGCTGTTGTTCTTGTTCGCACGGCTAGGTGGATCTGCAAAGGGGCCCTGATCTATAACCGGCGTATCTTCAATTATCGTCACCGCATTTGACTCTCTCTCCTTGTGTGGGTTATCGGACTCCTCAACGGCATCGGGGGAAGATTTCGATTTTACATCAACTGTCTTGCGTCCGCTGCCAACACGGACCATCTGAGGCCGCACAGCAGTTGCTGTTGATGCGCTAGCGTTTTTGAAAAAGGTAGCACCGATACTGAAAGCTGGAGAGACAGGTGGTTGATCGTATTTTTCGTAGTCAACAGCTGGTACAGGCGGCGTTGAACTGCCGCTGTTACTGCTAGGAGCGCGCGACTTAACGCTGATGATAGACGGTTTGAGGAAATTGCCCTTCTGAGCTGGGAGAGGAGAAATAACGGCGTTCTTTCCATATATAGTAGATGCAACACTCGATCGTGGAGCATACGACGTTCGGGCAACTGACGAACGGTCACTATAACCGGATATGCCCGAGTACGTCGAATCTCGAAGGTCACCAGGAACGAAGAAACGCTGTTCGTCGAAGGGCGAATTGCTGCCGCTGTCCGAGTGCGCGATAGGAATCGGTGGTACTGGAGGAACAAGTAGAGTTGGTGATGTAGGCGTAGCTCGGTTGGTTACTCCAGGGATATATGCGATCTGGATAATGTTCGAAGCGCGGGTTAGGACGGTAGACGCGATAGAGTGTACGGTATGTGTCGATGCTCGTTTCGATCGGCCTGAGGCATCTAACTCGTTTGGCATACTCATAGCTTCCTTTGTATGCTCCACGTCTCCTTGCCACGGCTCTGGTTCGTATCGAGACCTCTTACTCTTGATACAGAACCTCCAGACTAGATAAGTGATAATTGCGACAACAGCCAAGCCTCCCATCACGCCGCCCGCAATCGCACCAGAATTCGGTCCTTTACTGACTTGGGTAGTGGTAGTATCGGCGGTTGGATCTTTTATACAGAGGGCCTGGGGACATTCAGTGCAAGTTTGAGCAGTAAATTGGCATATTTCATCGTCGGCACAACTTGGACACGTCGGCGCACCACTCTCACACCTTACGCAGCCATTTTGTCTCTTAGAGAAGGATGAGGGGACATCTTCGTCTGGACCTCAGGTGTTAGATGTGGTAATCTAGAATGAAGAGAACTACACTTACGTAGGGAGAACCCAACGAAGCCGGGAACGCCTGCCATTGCTACCTGGGAGAGAGTAACTTTGACCCTGTTGTAAAAGGGTGACTTGACGGTTTAGACTTTTAAGGGACTCGGAGTCGACGCCTCGATAGGGATCGACAATATGATGCCAGACGTTGAAGAATTTGGCTTGGCGGTGAGATGGACCTTACTGCAGATCGGTCTACTTGACTAAAGCGTCTTTATTGGCGATTAATAGGTATCTAAGCGCAACGTCTTCGTTCTTTTTCGCCTGGATAGTTATGAAGTGAGATTGGACGACACGGAAGCGTCAAGCGTCGGTCGTCTTTGTCGTGATGTCGAATTGATTGGGTTTAGGTGGAAGAAGGGGGCGGCGCGGGAATGCTGGCGTTACAGGCGATGATTTAATTGATGGGTAGATAAACGAGTGACGAAGAGACTAGCTCCAAGAAATGAATTCGAATAAGTGCAACCTAGGTTGCCATGGAAAAGAACATTTAACGAAGTCCACTGTAGTATCTATTGCAACTTGTGCGAGCGATACTTTTGTTTGATTGAATTTACAGCGTGGTTAGAGTATGACAAGAGAGATGAATTGGTAAGAGGGAAAAGAGAGAATTGAATAAGGATGGATCCCGCACAGAGTGGGCAGAGGGGGGCGCATGGGAAGGCCTGGAAGGTGGGAGAGTGCGAACTAACGAACTGCGAACTGCGAACTGCAAGAGGGGACGGGGGCCGATGGGCAGATGGGAGCATTAGAGGTACCTAAGTAGGTTAGGCAGTGTAGCGGACAAGGTTAGTTCGGCTGAATTAATTGAGGGATAGGCCTGGTAGTCCCTGGGCGAAACACCCATAAGGAGCAAGAATAATGGATCGATTTACTGGTATTACTGGTACGTACTACTGCCCAGCGCGAGAGCGTTGTACAAAATAACAAAAGTGCCAAATTAGGCGAAACAAACTGGCCTGGCAGGGACTAACGGTGCTTTCTCATTGGACCGCTAGTCGCTGCTAAATAATCCTCCAGGGCTGTAGATATTTTGTACCTTCTAAACCAGGAACAGCTCAAAACACAATTGAAAATAGACATGTGTCAAAAAGGAGAGAACAAAGACAAGATCGTCAATCACTTATATTTCAAAGTTACTCTTGTAGAATAAGCATTTCTATCTGTCTTCACTCAAAGAGTCTTGGAATAAAAAATAAAACCCAAATGGAGTAAAAAGAATCATCTTTGACAAGTCTGGGCACCATGTACACGAACGTGTACATATGTTGTTACGTAACGAATGTAATTGGGTAGGGCTAGAACTCTTGCATAGATCTACGGACCCACGCGATGGGGGCCCATTCAATGATTTAATTATTTTTTATTACTTGTATGCTCTGCCTGCACGTGAGGGCGTTACGCTATGAGGTAGGTATTTCGATGAAATATGCGTAGGTAGATATTATGGCACTCCAAACCAAGTTCTTGGTGGCGTACAAAGCAACATCTTTATATATAGGTATAGGTATATATAAATGATTCGGTCCCCTCGCCTAGAATATCATCGAATTGGATATTCAATCCCGGAGATGAAATTATATCACCGGCGTCTTGGGTCAGCAAGCAATCAATCAATTTAATTAGGGCGAATCATTGCCCGCGTTCTCCAATGCCGTCTAGTATCTTCCTCCCAGAAATTTTGGGGGTTGCCTTAACTTTTTTTCTTTTTCCCGCAGACAATGGGGATTAAATCTAAATGGTCCCCTAGGTATTTTCTTTGACATCTCGCAAGAAAGATTGCTTAATAAAATTAAACGTAGCTTTTGAAAGATGATAGAATTGTAGGAAGGTACCTAGGTATAGATAGGTTAACCAATTTATTTAGATCTTATAGGTAGGGAATTGTATATAAGAAAATTTGTAGAAAGATGAACAGTGCTGATATACGATTTGGCCCAAGTAAATGGGGGGTTTAAGAGATTTAAGGCTCCAGCGTATTTATCGAAGGAATCCCTCCAAAACAAGATGGCAAGAAACATTGGAAATAGTGGCGGGACGCCATAACCTTTGCCTATAAGACGGTTGTATCCTTATTCCGATGAGGGTTTAGATACACGTATAAACAAGTCATACTTACAAGTAGAACGACGGCTGAGTGTACAATCTATTAGCCGTGTTCAGCATGCTATTGTAACTGGATAGTATGTCAAGTTTGATCTTTGGACCTTTCTAGCGATGAAGCATAGTGAGAGTGTACAAGACACGCATTAATGCGGCAAAAGAGCCAAAAAATTCTGATGGGTTAATTTGGTGGCCGTAACACTGAGGCTGAATATGAAATGGATCAGTACACTTGACGATACCTACATACCTAATATATATTAAATCCAACCCACGCGAAACTCGAGGAGTGGTGTATCTGATTTCATACATACAACTTATGGGAGAAGTACATGAAGATAGATTCGAAAGTAACGCTCGTAAGGCTGGATGCAACGCTTGTCAATCGTTTATTATGTATATACGGGATGGCCAAGGCTTATAAGTAAGGTTGGGGTTGCTCTCATCTGTAGTGTAGTGACTCTATCTCCAAGGCACATAACCAGCGAAGGCTAGCATGATGTGAGATAGCTGGATAGTAAAGGCAGATAAGATCGACATATATACGCGACGAGGAAGTTAGTGTATTGTAACCAAATCTTGCACCGCCTCATTCTTCGTATCCACAAGGAAGGGGACTCACTCCACCAAGCTCTCCTATTTCTAGCTATTTTTAGCCCAAAAGGACCCTTATATCTTGACATGAGAGATACAAACATGCACGTTCAACTTAGCCGTGACTACCGTAAAAAATATTGTTTAAGGTTAGGTATTTACGAGAGATTTTCTAGATTTGCAAGAATAAATCAAGGAATATATATCATATAGCGTTTCTAGGTATTCGGCAATGCTATCACCCAAGTACCTTACTAGGTGAATTAGGTACGTACAAATAGTACACGTAGGGCATTGGGGAAAATATGGAGACTCGGTTTCAAGCTAACGGAAAGCTGAGGTCGCCAATGGACGTACCAGCCATCCCCTGAAAATTTTACAATACAGGAAATATGCACTTAACAGATTAGCCATGATTCGTATCCTTTAATAGAGACAAACTTGCGGTGCCATCTTAGTTCTTAGAGGTAGTATTTACCATATAGCTACTGGAATATAACTGGAAAATACGAATGGACTAACTATGACACTGGTTAGTTATCTCGGTAACTATGTATTCTCTAGAGAATTCGAAAAAGGCAGGACGACGAGTGATGTTGGTCAGAGGTAGCGATGCCTGCCGCTTGTCTTATCCGTTATCCCTGTGCTGACCTGTATGCATGTAGCACCTGGTAGTAGGCTATCGTGTGCATTACGCCTTGTCGAGTTGATGCTATTTGCTAGCTCGCATTTGTGGCTGATAACCTGAAGGTTGGATCCATTTCAAAAAACCTGCAAGTTGAAGTCTTCCTTTACTCTTTTTTAACTTCCCTGATTCCCCACCCCGTCTTACTGACATTATGATACTATATACACTAGGAGATGCTTATAGGCATCAATGTATACATAATAACATTGTCAAACATCTGGTAGGCCATCACGAGAACCAGATGCATATCATATTAAGTGACGTAGGTGACATATTTGTCTCTCAAGGAAGCAGGTGATGAATGAATTTCGTGCTTTTTAAGTACCTAGGTACTTAAGTGTCTGGCAGTTGGAAAATATGTAGGTATGCAGGTTTCGTGTCAACCAATTAAGATACGCCCGGCAACGGTACTAGCATACTAGCGCAGATAATACATATGTACCTTCAGACCTTGTATGGCATGACAAAGGCGACCTACGTGCATCTTCACAGCGGGCTGCATAGCAGTAACGTAACGGCTGAGTCACCTGTCATACGTGCTAAGCCACATCAGCCCTGGTAAAATAAGTGTGAATAAGTGCTATTATCAGGTCTGCAAGTTTGCTGGTGGGTACTACAGGAGGTACTCAGTCTCTTTTCCTGCATGTCTCCTTTTATGTACCTCTTATGTTAGGGGCCTCTCAGTCCCGACGCGGACCCCATCCCAACCTAAAAAAGAAAAATACAAACGACCGCCCTTCCTTCATCTTTCCCCTTAGAACAACCTATTTTCACCCATCGCGAGACTTCCCCCTATGTCTTCGAGCACTGGGTGATTGATTCATCAAATCGCTCGATACCCTTCTCTCATTTATTATTTATTCTTGCAGTATTGGTATCACCTGCAGACAAGCCACTTTCACTTTAATACTTTCTCTTGTGGGGGGGAAACCTTGAATTATCGCGTGGCCCCTGGATCTTACATTGTTCGTCGCAGTGCTGAGGAATCAACACAAACACGAGCATCGGGAAACAAATATTAAATAATATAAATTAAACGGTTTGCGACCTTGTTGTCTAAGACCGGCTAGTGTAGCCGATAGTCAAAATGGCTTACAACGGCGGTCACGGTGACGACTATGACGGGCATCGTCTTCAAGACATGCCTGCCAACAGCACGGTAAAGTTTTAACCTTAACCATTGCTTTGGGTTCGTCCATCTGCAAGGTCACACAGCTAATTCGTACCTCGTCGCATACAGTATCATCTACCTCCCATTGAGCAAGACGACGATGAATCACAGCGTCATCTCCTAGGACAGACTCCTGGTCTTCATTATGAACAGGATCGGCTGGGTACCAATACTCCTCCTGCACGCCCAGTCTCGGCTTACAGTCTTACTGAGTCGTACGCTACAAACGCTCCTCCTCCTACACAGTCTCCAGCACCTCAATATACCGGTGAGTATGCGGGTGGCTATGGTGGGCATCAGCTTGAGGATACCGGCTTCGGATATGGTAGACCTGCATCTACTGTTGACAGCGACGAGGGTTGGCTACGTCGTCAGCAACCTGGCGGTGCTGGTGGTGGTTTGAAGCGTTATGCTACCCGAAGGGTTAAGCTAGTTCAAGGATCCGTTCTCAGTGCCGATTATCCAGTACCCAGTGCTATCAAGAATGCTGTACAGGCTAAGTACCGGGATACTGAGAGCGGCAGCGGCGAGTTTCTCAACATGCGATACACTGCTGCTACCTGCGACCCGAACGATTTTACTCTGAAAAATGGTTACGATCTTCGGCCTCGAATGTATAACAGACACACAGAGCTTCTGATCGCTATTACCTACTACAACGAAGACAAGCAACTTTTTGCGCGAACACTTCATGGTGTTATGCAGAATGTTCGCGACATTGTCAACCTGAAGAAATCTACTTTCTGGAATAAGGGCGGCCCTGCTTGGCAAAAGATCGTAGTCTGTTTTGTCTTCGATGGTATCGAAAAGGCAGACAAGGAAACACTGGACGTCTTGGCCACCATCGGTGTCTTCCAGGACGGTGTGGTGAAGAAGGAAGTCAATGGCAAGGAGACTGTTGCTCATGTCTTCGAGTACACTACTCAGCTGTCTGTTACGCCGAACCAGCAGCTCATTAGACCAGTGGACGACAGCCCCCAGACCTTGCCCCCTGTCCAGATGATTTTCTGTCTAAAGCAGAAGAACACCAAGAAGATCAACTCTCACCGTTGGCTATTCAATGCGTTTGGCAGGATCTTGAACCCTGAAGTGTGTATTCTTCTTGACGCTGGTACCAAACCGGGACCGAAGTCTCTCCTTGCGCTTTGGGAAGGCTTTTACAACGACAAGGATCTTGGTGGAGCTTGTGGTGAAATCCACGCCATGTTAGGCAAAGGCGGCAAGAAGTTGATGAACCCTCTTGTCGCCGTCCAGAATTTCGAGTACAAGATCTCTAATATTTTGGACAAGCCTTTAGAAAGCTCTTTCGGCTACGTGTCTGTGTTGCCTGGTGCCTTCTCCGCATACCGATTCCGAGCTATCATGGGTCGACCTCTGGACCAATACTTCCACGGTGATCATACTCTTTCCAAGATTCTCGGCCCCAAGGGTATCGAAGGCATGAACATTTTCAAGAAGAACATGTTCTTGGCCGAAGATCGTATCTTGTGTTTCGAGCTTGTCGCCAAAGCTGGGTCTAAGTGGCATCTGTCGTATATCAAAGCCGCCAAGGGTGAGACTGATGTTCCCGAAGGTGCTCCCGAATTCATCAGCCAGCGACGACGTTGGCTCAACGGTTCGTTCGCCGCCTCTCTTTACTCGCTGATGCACTTCGGTCGTATGTACAAGAGTGGTCATAACATCGTCCGCATGTTCTTCTTGCACATTCAGCTTATCTACAACATCGCAAACGTATTGTTTACCTGGTTCAATTTGGCATCGTATTACTTGACAACAACGGTTCTTATGGATTTGGTCGGAGCACACACGGAAGCCAGTTCGACTTCTGCTGAAAAACACGGATGGCCTTTTGGTGACACTGCTACCCCTATTGTCAACATCATCCTCGAGTACATGTACATTGCCTTCCTGATTCTTCAGTTCATCCTGGCGCTTGGTAACCGTCCCAAGGGTTCCAAGTATGCATACATGGCGTCGTTTGGCTTGTTCGGATTCATTCAGGTCTACGTCCTCATTTTGTCCGGTTATCTCGTCGTAAATGCTTTCCAGCCGTCAAATTTGCCTTCGGGCGAAAGTGCTGGCGATGCCCTCAAGGATATGTTTACGGGCCAGTCTGAAGTGGCTATCATTATCTTGGCGTTACTCGCGACATTTGGTTTGTACTTCATCGCATCGTTCATGTACCTGGACCCGTGGCATATGTTCCACTCGTTCCCGCAGTACATGGTCCTCATGTCGACGTACATCAACATTCTGATGGTTTACGCTTTCAACAACTGGCACGATGTCTCATGGGGTACCAAGGGTTCAGATAAAGCTGAAGCATTACCAAAGGCTCAGGTTGTGAAGGATGAAAAGGGTGAAGCCGCCATTGAAGAAATTGACAAGCCCCAGGAAGATATCGATAGCCAGTTTGAACAGACAGTCAAGCGTGCTTTGGCTCCTTTCAAGCCGGAACCTGAGGACGATAGCAAGGACCTTGAAGACTCGTACAAGTCCTTCCGAACATCGCTAGTCGTTGCGTGGTTGTTCTCCAACTGCGCTCTTATTGTGGGTGTAACTAGCGACAAGCTCACTACATTCGGTATTGGGGTAAGTTTGATTATTTAGTTGAAATAGATGGCGAGGAGTTTTATGCTAACTGAACCATAGGGTACTACGTCGGACCGAACGGCGCAATTCTTCAAGTTCCTTCTTATCGCCACCGCAGCCATGTCCCTCGTCCGTTTCATTGGATGCTGCTGGTTCTTGGGCCGAACTGGAATCATGTGCTGCTTCTCCAGACGGTAAAGCGGCTGAGACTCAGCGTAATTAGGTCTTTTTGAGATTTATACGCCTACGATATGTACAAATGTAGCCTATCTCCAGGACCTGGCGTCAAACACTGTTTCTATGCTGGATAGACGGGCGATAGGACTCGGTTTGCAAGATAGGGTATAGGGGGAATCAGAAAAGTTGCGGCTACGCCATTGGACCGTTAACCGTGTGTCATTGTTTGGGCGTTATTGACATTCTCCTTTTATATACACCTAATGTCTCTAAACCGAATAGTTAGGTCAGTTACTTACGAACTATTCTAGCAAATCGATGAGTTTTTATGGCATTCATGAGATGATTCTAAGTCTGATTAATTATTATGCTTTTAAGTATGAGTTGTGTATTGATATGCTTTATCCTTTAGAGTATCGAACCTACGCCATGGCATGTATGGATAGGTACCTAGGTACCTCATGTACCTACCTGTTAAGGTATCTACGTATAGGTACTTCAAACCCCTCCTAACAAAGTGCCTCCCCTAGGTCCATAGGTAGTATCTTAGGGGTATTTGGGTGAGCTACCCCACTATACCGCGTAAAGTGGTACCTATAGCTCGTAGCCTGCCATTGAAAATACCTAACAACTTCACCCCGCGTTGTAATAAAAGGTAGTTTAACCTTTTATCTATACTTCAAGTCGAAATCGTTTGCGGCATTGAAAAGTTTCTAAACCCCTAACCTACTTGACTTCCTACGATTAAACCACGATCGCCATATAAATTGAGACGCTATCCTCCCTTCAAGCTATCATGGAGTCTTTAGAGGCTATCCAGGCTCGGCATCGCAAAGAACAGCGTGAACTACAAGCGCGAATCACGAACAAGAAGAAGAATGCGACCAAAAAGACGCGGAAGGGTGTCAACGATGAATGCGCCGAGCTTGAGAGACAATTAAAAGGGAAACAGGAGCAAGAGATCGCCGCGATAAACGGGAATGGCGACAATGAGGGACGTGCAATGGGCGAGATAGAGGAACAAGAACAACAAGAAGCTTTGCAAGACCAAAATCTCAACGGAGGCGCGACGAATGGAATAACAGAACAATTAAAAGATACAACCATCTCCCCGCCACCAGAGTCTGACCCCGCGACACAACAACAGCAGCCCAAGAAGCGGAACCGCCAAAAAGAGCGAATGGCGCGGAGGGCAGCAGAACAGGAAGCAGCCACCATCGCCGCCGAACAAGAGGCAGCCAACATGACAGACCACCGGAAAATCGAGAAGACATACCTGCTCAAAGAATTCAAGGCCAACAATCTAGTCGAGAAGGAGATACAACCAGACGGGCACTGTCTATTCTCCGCCATAGCAGACCAGCTACAAACGCGAGACATACCGCTCGGCCCAGACACAGAGACAAAAGGCAAGCCGGCGTATAGAGTAGTACGGCAGGCAGCAACGGACTACATGGAAGCGCACGCGGACGACTTTGCGCCGTTCTTGGAGGAGCCGCTAGATACGTACGTGACGAAGATCCGGGACACAGCGGAGTGGGGAGGGCAGCTTGAGTTATCGGCGTTGGCGAACGCGTACGGGGTCGAGATTAAGGTGCTACAAGACGGGCGGACGGAGACCATCGAGCCGAGCACGGATAAGGGAGGTGCGGAAAGGCAGAGGATATGGCTGGCGTATTATCGCCATGGGTACGGACTTGGGGAGCATTATAATTCGCTGCGGAAGGTGAATTAGAATATTAGAATATTGGAAAAGAAAGACGTAGAAAAATAATAACTACCGAAGCTGATATAGAAGAGAACTTGGGACTCTAGACTAACATCTCGTGAGAGTACGTGGCTACGGTATACATCCACCTCGGCGTGATCGGAATTAGTTCGTGTTAAAGTACGTAGGCCGCACGATTTATATCTTTTTAGCATCTACGTATAGCCACTAAAGATACTTGCAGAGGGGGATTCTGTTATACTCGATACGCTATGAAATATAGATTCTGCTTTCTCTTCAAACGCACGTCTCCGCGGAGAATGAAATGTCTTCCATCGAAAGTTTCCCAGTAACAGCTTGAACTTACCTAGATGGTCTCTTGTCGTCGTGAACTAACCATAGTAAGATAGATGACTGATGTCGCCCAGGTGGCCAGCGTTACCAGGGCTGTGGAAATTAGGAACGAAGATTGCTTTAGTCTAGTATCGTCGCAAGCGAATATGTCCATGCCAAGTAAAGATTTAGGATGATATAAGGTACTAGACATGTCTAGCGGTTGTTCGCTTCCCACGAAGAGGCACCAGGCTCGGAGTCGCTAAGGTAAAAGATGGTATATGGTGGCACTGACATGAGAGGACGAGAGTGTTACGCTTCCTTGTTTATCATACGTTCTATGTAACCTCCTGAAAACTGCTTTGACAAAGGGTAGGTTGAGTACCTAGGTAGATAATAAGGTTTCTAAGTCCTCACTTATATCATCTATATTATCCAGGGCAATTAACTTATCCATAGTCTGGTTATTAATACTAAGATATCTAACATCAGTCCGTAAAACGTAAAACCGCGTCAAATTGGTAAAAGACCTGAGCTGCGTTTATTAACATGTCCTACTTCGCTTGTACCGTAGGATAAAGCACTGCCACATCTGCCACATCTCTTCTCATTTGCCGAGGCGGGCCGCGCCGGGGTTAATGGGGTTACCTAATGGGCAACTGCAGCTGTGCAAGTAGGCATCTGTTATCGGGGAACTAGACTAGACTTCGATCTAATCTTACTCCAGCTTTCTATGATAGTATGCTGTAAATTTGGATTTCTAATCCATTTGCGGCTTCGGTCGGCATCTGGCCCTTATTAATCATTCTAGAGCCTAGAGCCCCCCACAAAGGAGTAGACAAACTAGGGGGAAAAGAAAAAGAAGAGGGAGAAAAAAAACCTTAAGTTTATAATAAATAAGCTCATAAATAATATGATGGAACCGAAGCGCTTAAATATATATCTCGTCAGCTTGGCACCAATCTGACTTCGCTTCTTTCAACACTCCCACGTCTCCCTACAATTTGTTACGCATCAAGAAAACAAGAGATTACCGCTAAGAGCTCTAGATCTAGAGAAAAAGCGTCAGTCGGACCAGTGGTATGATCTAAGGATTGCGTGCTTCGATGCGCAGTTGACAACACCGTACCACCCACCAGCTTACATCCATATTCCTATTCGTGATTATGGCTTCAAAGGCCTGACTCTAATTCGTGGGGGTTACAATCTGAAAGAAGAGAGGCGTATTTTATGACAGCACTGTAAGAGCCGGTTGTCGACGCCGCTCAAAAGCCTGTCTCTTTTCACGATACGGCCCAGTCCGTAATACGGATAGGGTAGGCGATACCAACTTAGAGCTTGTGGTAGAGCAAATCGGGAAGTTGAAGATTCAATACTGACAGCCCTCGGAGTTGTCAGTTGACAGTTGATTATCCATTCCTATTAATTATCTTTATCTTAAAAGTCCTGTTCTCCTCCCCAAGCAAACATCATCACTTAGTATCTCCATCGAGAAATATACCGACGTATCTTCTATCCGGGGTCTGGAACAAATCAAAGAAAGAATACGGAATACTCCTTTTATCTCATCAGATCGTATAACCCCGAATTTTTAACGGCAAATATGGGTTTACTGTACGTGCTTCCTTCATCGATTGATATACGGGGACCGATCTAGTAATGAGGTCATTAACATCGATTTATAGAGCTTTAGGGACGGCTCTTGATTGGCCGGACGCACAGCAGCATGCGCATAAGGTTAGGGAATGGGGCATTAAGGTAGTTTCTTATCACTATATCCCCTGCTACTGTTCTGAAAACTGGCTGACCTATCGTAGCAACTCCTAGAGATTTGGAATAAGGCTAAGCATAAGGAACGAGATGCTATGTTGTGGGGTGATGAGGTACTGCTTGCACCATGTTGCGCCACTAAGTATCTAAGGTAACCTTGTTAACGACTCCGTAGATAGAATACTTGGTCGTGAAATACTCCAAGGATGATCCTAAAGTTCTCCTTTCGCTTCGGCAAGCCGATATTCTCACAGCCTTAGCAGCCGATGAAGAACTCTCCGATAAAGGCGGATGCGTTCCGGCACTACAGGAACTCGAGTCGCAGAGATCGAATCCGTTACCCGTGTTCCACCCTGAATTTGGTAGATTTATGCTTGAGGCTACTCCAGGCAAGCCATGGGGCATCGGATTCAAGGAACTTTTGGGCGTCGAGCCCGATATGAAAAACAGGTATCCTCATCTTGTACACTACTCGTCGCGTCCTTACTCTGAGCTAACCAGATCCCAGGAGGAAGATAGCCAAAGAACACATGCAGGCTGAAGAATATCCCATTACACTCACAACATTCCCTCGCCTAGGTGTTCCGGGTGTCTTTACGGATCCTTACTACCCACCATCCGGGCCAAAGCTCCGGTCACAATTCGTGCCGGACGAGATTGCTAATCCGCATATTCGGTTTCCAACACTAGCGGCGAATATCCGCTGGAGGCGCGGGCGGAAGGTTCAGGTAAACGTTCCAGTCTTCCACGATCAAAAGACGCCAATTCCTTGGAAGGACCCTACGGTGAACTATGATCTGCACAACTGGCCAGAAGACGACGATGTGAGAAACGGTGCAGCCCCGGACAATTTTATCCATATGGACGCTATGGCATTTGGAATGGGAAGCTGCTGCTTACAGATTACATTTCAGGCGAAGAACATCATCGAGGGTAGAAGGATGTATGACCAGCTAAGTCCAATTGGCCCCATCATGTTGGCCCTAACGGCGGCGACCCCTATTTATAAGGGGTTCCTAGCCGATACCGATGTCCGCTGGAACCAAATCAGCCGAGCCGTAGATGATAGAACCCCTGAAGAATTGGGAGAGAAGGTTAGTTCACATACGACAACTTAACTAGCTCGAAGTAACTAACCGACTATTGTCAAGCCCCTGAAAAACAGCCGATGGCGCATACCTAAATCGCGTTACGCATCTAACTCCACTTATATAAGTACCGATGAGCGTCTTCGACAGGAGTACTTCGATCCTAACCTTGTTATCGATGAAGATATTAAGGCAGAACTCCTCGAAGGTGGCATGGACGATCGCCTTGCGACACACTTTGCGCACCTTTTTATCCGGGATCCCATCGTAATATTTAGTGAAGATCTTAAGGAACTTGACTTAACAAAGGCCGACCATTTCGAGAACATCCAGAGTACCAACTGGCAACACATGCGGTTCAAGCCACCGCCACCGGGTTCTGATATTGGCTGGCGAGTCGAGTTTCGCCCGATGGAGATCCAGATCACAGACTTCGAGAACGCGGCTTTTGCCGTCTTCATGGTTCTAATAACACGCGCGATCCTGAGCTTCGACTTGAACTTCTATATCCCAATCGTCAAGGTAGACGAGAATATGGAAACCGCCCATGCTAGGGACGCCGTCCTGGAGAAGAAATTCCACTTCCGGAAGAACCCATTCCCAAACAGACAGGCGCGCAGCAGCGCTACGTCCCGTTCGGGTTCGCCCACAGCTAGCCGACCTTCTACACCCTTCGGCCCTGTTGAGGATGAGTATACGCTCATGACGGTCGACGAGATCATCAACGGTTCCCAATCGGACGAGCACAGCTTCCCGGGTCTTATTCCTATTGTCGAGAGCTATCTTGACTCTGTGAATGTGGACGTACAGACGCGGTGCGAGCTCTCAACGTATCTCGACCTTATTCGTATGCGCGCCAGCGGTGAGCTCTGGACGGCAGCGAAGTGGATCCGGCATTTCGTAGACAAGCATCCCGAGTACAACCACGACAGCGCCGTGACAGACGAGATCAACAAGAGCCTCGTAAGCGCCGTTATAGACATCGGCGATAGGGAGCAGAAAGGTATGGGTTGGAAAGGCCTTCCAATCCCCGACGTAGAGCACCTACTCGGGCGGTTCAGAAGCAGCGGGTGCGGAGATTCATAGGCTGAGAGCCAGTTGGGTCAAGTGAGAGGTTTAGACGCCATGCCAGCATGGCATGTCGAGGTTCTCAAACAGGTCGACTACGCATGCCTGTTTGATCGCTATGGCATTATGTTGCCGAGGTGCATACACGATGGATTTGTTCGTTGGCGATTACTTTGCCCCGTAGATTTCCCACAGGTATATACTATACCGAGCATAGAAAGCGACTGATTTTTAAATTTATCTTGAACAAGTTGATGTACCTACTGCGGCTTTGTCGCTAAAATAAGGGTCGAGTTATCATTCAAGTGACATCTGCTACGTCTATAGGTATACTACTCGCGCTTCAATGACCCAAGTATAGCTCAATATATTAGTAGCAAGAAATTTCACATTTTTCAGGCTGGAAGCCTGGCCGCCCGGGCAGTGTTGCCATGGTAGTAGTTCTTCCATGATTAGAGGTAGACTATTTTTGAAGCACGTTCAGGTACTCTTCGACGGAATCAGCAAGGCGCAATAGAGCCCATGGTGTGTCCTCACCAAGACGATTCTGTATATATTACGTACGCTACTTCTGGGAAGTCGTGGTAGGGACTGGTGGTGAATCCGCGCAACTAATTCCTTAGGGCTCTCAGGGTCTATAGCCGCAATCACCAAGCCTCCAGGGCCCGACCTAAAGTAGCTCACCGCTAACTTTCTAGGACGTCTCCAAAGACATCCTATGCATTGCTAAGTAACGGTGCTTTTCTAGGATAGGACCAAGTAGAAGCATCCGGTCTACCTGCTCCAGTTCCAGTTCACTTACAGTCACAGAATTTCGCTGAGATATATCAGTACGTGCGAGTACCGGCTAAGGTCATCCTAGATGAGATAGTGGACATACCCACAGTCGCTTTTTGGATTAACTTTTGAGAGCGAAATATTCCTATTATCCGGCGAGCACGTTTTTCTCCTGAAGTGAGCTTACTGGTCAGGGCCCTACGTTTACTGGTTACAAGTACTACCTAAGAAGTTCCTATAGTATAAGGAAACATCGAGAGGACAACGTGCCGGTCTTCAGCACAAGGTGCAATAGTGGCTTTCTTGACTCCCTGTCCCGTCTAAGGATAGGGATAGGGCTAGGGATAGGGGGAATCTGATGTTAAGAAACTATTGCTTAGATGTGCGATTAGATAGGAGCAACATGCCCCCCGTTGACACTCTTGATTGCTGTAATTGAAGTTTACTTTTAGCTGTATAGTCTTCTACTAATTATATTTGAGCCCGCAAATGGTCGGTCCCTAGAAGCCTGCAGGATGGAGTTAAAGTAATTGACCTGGTTGCAGGCGTAGGTTTTCCTATAATACAGACCTAAAGGCGAATGCTTCGACTGGTCTTGGCACTGGGATAACTAAGTCTTCTATGTAGGAACTATTGCTATTATGTTGCAAAGCCCTTAGCCCGTACCTACTCTTCAGTGTCTGTAAATATAAGGGTAGTAGTAGTAGTTAAGATAACGCCTCTTTCGATCAGCGACAGACTATACAACTGATCCCTTACGTTAGTAGGTGTATGATGAGATAGGTACTACGTCTGCTTTGTGCACTAAAGAATGTACGTGTACGACTAGAATACAGACATGTTCCGACTAAATAGACGTAATGTAATAAATTAAGGAATATTCATGGTTAAGCATATCTATATTTCAACGATGGCCCTCGTACTAGTCTTAGAAGTAGGAGTTACCTATTACATGTCTACTTAGGTAGAGGTACTATCTGCTGTCAACTTACCATTGCATTTCTAGCCGCCTCCTAATTGATTAAAAGTATACGCTTTCAACTCTAGTAGACTAAAGTCACATATCCTTCGACCAGCTTAGGTACCTAACCTAACCTTTCGTTCTGTAAGATAATGAGCGGTTAATCGGGAATTATAACTACCCGAGCGGTAACTACAGCTTGCTTCAATTTCAGTATATTGTATCTAGTTTCATGTAACTAGCAAGTAGGCTTGAAGTCAGATTTTAATATCGCCTTAGACTCTCTTCGAAGCATCTGCTCCGGCGCCCCCTTTAGTCGAAACAAGATATAACTGTGTGGCGGGCGTGGCTTAAGTCCGAGCATCATCATCAGCGCCTCCGGGCCCGGACCGCCGAGCCGTCTGTCTGCAAGGCCATCTTGGTTTCCTACCTACCTACATCGAGTCGAATCTAGACACCATATTGGACGACCGGTAAGGGGCAACTCCCGATCTCTGGCAAGACGGTGCCCGAAAACTGCAGGTCGCATTTCCATTCTAGGGGACGTTTAGTAGAGAGGCTTCGCGCTCTACCAAGTAAAAGAGGTAGGTGGCGGCTTACATGTTGTTTCAGGCGGGCGGTTCCCTGCGTGGAAGTTTAACTGGGCCGTGTGTCTTTGATCACGTATGACTCTGCTCGTGACACGGCCGGGCCGGACCGCAAAGATGCGAGCAGGGAAACCGAATAAAACAAAACATGTTTCTGCTCTTTCTTACTGCTGTCTAGCTCCCCGCCTCATGAGCCGTTAGGTCTCAGTCTCGTAATCAGAGACATGTCTAGGTAAGTTAAGGAAGCTGTTTCGGTTAGGAACGGATCAGATCTCGTACAAGATCTTGCAGGACGCGAGTAACGTTCGGTGTTCCCTGGCGGGACGAAATAACGTGCAAAGATGCTGAAGATCATTCCTACGTGAGTACAGTATGCATACTCTAGGTGTGACTGTTTCGTCATACGACCAACTTGGGTGATATGACCAGATACGGAGTATGCACGTTAAGGACTGGTATTAGATAGGGGTAAATATGAACTATTCTATCTGGCGCTTTATTACTTAATTTATAATTTATTTTTCCTTGGATACCTTGAGTTAGATATAGCATCACGGATCTTTTAACTATAACAATATAGAAGAAGGGTTATATAACGCGAGGCTTAGGTACCTAGAGGTAGGTTAGGTAGTCAACCCGTCAACGAGTCGCGGCTATTATTGAGCAACATAATATACTCTAGACCCGTCTTATTTCCATGCGCAAACACGCTGGGCATATGTCGTGAATCCCTAATATTCAACTCGATGCCTTATGCTGCGACAGGATCATGTTACTGGCGTAAGTAATACAGGTTTCACCCTTCCGTCAAGGTCCTAAGATCAATGAGACATCAAGGAAATCTCAGCCCATACGCCCAGATACAAGTTCGTATTTGGCAGAGACCACCCAACGACATGGACATGCGTATACATTTCATAATGGGGTTGACTCGCATCACCGGCTACCGACTTTGTCACGATTCTTAGCCCCTTGACCTTGAAGAGCCCCACTACGCGGCGTCCTCTCTTGGGCTGGTTTGGTGACTTTTAGTGTTGAGTTGGATCTCAAACTCAAATGCGATCACCCGATATTGAGGATGCTAGTGGCCGTAGCTCGACAGGAAAGTGGGCATTGTCGTTGTTGTTGTTTATGAGAGGGTACTATGTATGATGTATGAGGTAGGTACCTATGTAAGCTGGTAAGTCGAATGACGCTTGGATCGAAAGGAACATGTTAAGAGGCACTCACCTACTTTTCCAAATATACCCCTGAGGGGATTTAAGTGGTCTCGAGCAACTACTTACCTGTTCTGGGCAAAGACCATCGTGATTGATTTTAGTGCGTAGCCATCCAATAGAGGAAGAATCGAAATCGGATCCTAAGGTCGGCTATCTTAAAATTCCTAACGGAGGCAATAATAGGTACCCAATTATAATCGAGTACTCGATTGTACAAGTGCCGGGCATGAATACGAAAGGGTCAGGTTGTTTGCAGTAGCGTTACCAGCCTGTCAAAAGATGGCGCGGCACTAGGCAATGACAGTAATTCTCATTACTCGCGGCGGTTACGAGGTGGACCTGGCTTCGCTTGGCGGAGTCAATAGGTTACGTAGGTATCTGACAACGCAGAGATCATACTAACCTACATAGCACATATAGTTAGTACATACTACTAGAATAACCAACTAGTACGGATAAGGTAGACGGCCGTCGACATCGGGTAGGCTATTTACCTAGGATCTAGGTACATGGTTGTAAATAAGCATTCCGGAGTTATGTCCGCCACATCATCCGGCATAGCGGGCGGAACATACGGAAGGATGAAAAGGGAGCCACCGGCGTGCGACTACGGAACATCGGATTGAAATTACTAGTTGCGGGCTTGCATCTGAGATAGGTAAGTGTATGTGTGCGGCGCAGTGCAGAGAATATTCTGTCCATTGATACCTTAGTATTCTACCTCCTAGCCGGCAAGTCCGAAGTATGAAAAGCCGTGGACGTCATTGGCGACGTGGTTAAGGGAAGGAAAATTCAGGACAGGCGGCTTTTTGGTTTTTTTTTTTATCGGTGGGTAGGATTGGTTAAGATCAGATCACGGGAACATCAGTAATGCTACTAGGTACCTAGATACCTTAATGTATTGGGTATGGGACGGATCTTAGATTGGCTCAAATTGGGATTGGATTGTACCTTAGTATCGAATCGAATTGTACTGGTAGATTGGGTTGGAGTAATCCCAAGAATGGGGGGGAAAGGGATGCTGTATCGTGTACCGATACTTATCGCCTACCTTAGGAGGTATTGTACATGTACCTAACAATGCAAGATGGAGAGTGGGGTTGATCTGGGATCTGGAAGGGATCTCGATTGGCAGAAATGGATGACTTGCTAAGCCACGTGGTGGTAAAGTACAGGTACTTGACTATGAGGTACCGCGAAACGTGCTATAAGTGTAAGTACCTTAGGTAGGTAATTATCTATAATACCTATACCTACTATACCTTCCATATCATTAGGTATAGTTCTATTCAATTAAGCTTCAATATGCATACATCTAGCAAGTAACAAAGACGCAGCCCTAAAGTCATGTTTATGACTTGCATATCTACCTCCATAAGAAGCCCAAAGTCTAAAGATGAGATGGTTATAAACAAGCATATGATTTCAAATATTAGTTAGTATAAACTATAGGTAACTCCTCTTGCATGAGCCAAGGAGGAGATAAGGGAAGCTCGAAGCGAGCCGAATAGTACGTGTACGCCATACCCATCAACAATAAATTTAAGTTGTCACTTATATTAATACTCGGGGCGTATAACCCTAATGGGTTGGTTCCATAAGACTTGACAGCAAGACAGCAACATCCATCTACTTAAGTAGATAAGTAGCTGCGCGTGTCTCTTTTTAGTTCGGGCCCCTAAAGTTAGCTCAAAGCCCCCCCGTTCGTGTCATGTTCAATATAGGATAAGATCGTCGCCAACTGATCCAAGAGTAAGTCAAGGATCGAGCCATGTCTTAGATTTGTACGAGGTGGGATGTGTAAGAAGAGGAACTTACAAGAGACAAGCCAGGATAAATACGTCTGGGCGTTCTAAAAGAGACACCATGCAGGAAGATAGTTGGGAAAGAAACAAGTGTATAGGATAGTGGCGTAACAAGAGGGCTAGGGAGGTGGAAGCAAAACATTCATTCGACTTCGTATCGTGAATTCTTTATGACTTATATGTTAGGTACCTAAATTAAATTAAATACATGATGGATATTGAAACGAACGGTGGTGAACTATACATACATTAGGTAATTGATAAGTTGAATATCATATACATATGCCAGTTGACCAGGTACTGAATCTAATCTTAAGATAGGTAGATACTGACATCTGACATCTGGCATCCCGTAAGTCATGATCTAAACTTAAACTTTCCCCGCGAAGCACCTGTCGAAAAGACCACCTAGATAAGCTTACTCCGACTACCTTAAAACATCGGACGAATCTGACGCGTGTCAAACTGTCCTAAAAAGAAAAAATAATAAGGTTGGATTTCAGGCCGGACGGAGTCCTGACAGAAAACCTAACTCTGTTATCCAACCGGGAAGACAGATCTAAGACCGAGATGGCTCGACAGCCTATAGAATAACGTCGAGATATAAGAATAGCCACGTGAAGCCGCCAACTTGGGCGAATTCTAATCTTCTATGTACGAACAACTATTGTGTATGGGAGATCATAACGAGCCACGTAACGCTGATTCATTCATACCGAGTAACTAACCCATTACATACCTACCTCTTACATATCTTAGCTACCTAAGGTACTTACCTAGATCTTCCTAACTAAGAGAGAACACATACCATATAGTTAAGTACATCAGAGGGCGAGATTTAGGGAGGGAGGGGGGAAGAGATCGCATACCGCTTGCAGCTCCTGGCCGATCTTGAGATGTGACCCCTGCGGCGACAGACGCACAAAGCAATCCGTGCCAACGCCTCTTGTGCGCCCTCTACGAAAGCTATGTACTATGTAGAGCGACCAGACCAGTCCCGACGTTACATCAGGACCTATTTTGAGATGGATGACAAGAAGTGCGGCTTAACGCACGGGGAGAAAATATTGGAGGGTTGTGGCATGCGACCTGCCGCCCACCGGCAACAAGAGAGAGAGGGCGAGTTGTGTACTTGGTGGCTTGGTGGACTGTACCCGTCCTGTACCTTTCGTCCTGTTTCTTAGAAACAACACGTCATGATGGGGTAGAAAGTGGAATACCTTACCTAGAGACGATAGTTCTCGGCGTGAAGAGTCGACGAAACATTATCTCTTCATTCCGGCCACCCCCCCTCCCCCTCCCCCCTTTTTTTTCACCTTTAGAGGCTACGATCTTCCGTCGGGATGTTTGACAGACAAGATCTAGTTTGGGGGGACTGTGCAGATCCCGCCTGGCCTGCATCGCGGCGAACCTGATTTCATGCAGCCCCCTCTCTAGCGCATCCGGGGAACACATGTGGAACGGATAGGTACCTAGCGTAGGGAGGGACGATGATGACCTGTCACCTCCGTCTGCTAATCTACTGATTGTTGGCCAAGCCCATTATTGCTCTCGCGCGCGTCTTCGTAGAGTCCTATTCCGTCTTCGCGCATCCAATGCATTAGAAGCGAAGCGGGACGAAATGCAATCACCCTCACGTACATACATATATAGGTAAATATATATTTATTTACATACCTACCTCATATATACGTATAGCTAGGTAGCTATAATATGCTATTGCCATACCAACCACCGGCAGACCAAAGAAAGGAAGGAGGGAGGGTGTGTGCTAGGCATATTGCGTCGAGGCGATGACGTGCAGAGGGCGACAGCGTCTCGTTGCAGCCACGTAGGGGAACGGTCGAGCATCCGGTGGTATTATATATATTATATTTATTGAGCCTCAGGCTCCACAACCTTAGCTGGCGTAAAAAAAAAAAAAAAAAAAAAAGAAATAAAAGAAATCGCAGCTAAGCAACTGCGAGCCAAGACTTATTTCTTCGCTAGTACTATAGTCTTGTTTTCCTGCCGTGACGCCAGCAGTTAGTGGGTTTATGAATGACTAGTTGCGACGGGCGAATGGGCTTCTTTCGCGTTTTCGTCCCGATCCTGTAGGCAGGCTTGCGACACGGTAGCCCCATGAGAAAGAAGGCTTGATGGCTTTTTAAGTTTTCTTTGGCTGGAACTACATTACGCGGTCGTGTTCCATATGAGGGGCCCGTCGTGGGAATTTGTTAGGTAGCTGATAACTTGAATACAACATACAACGTAGAGAGATGGAGTTGTAGTGAAGTAGATCTGCTCCGATGGAATATGATCTCGCGTTGATTCACAAGATCCTTGCCCGTTCATTTTTATACATACCTAACCTACCTAACCCTTATATATAGGTAGGTAGGTAGGTACCTTATATAATAACCGTGTATATCTTTATGCGGGTATGATCGTGCCAGCCGCACGCGTAGACGCATTAGCCAGTACCTAAGCAGAGGACCCTTAGGTCTCAGATCCGTGTCTCACAAGCCTACCTATCAGGTAGCTTCTAATTCGTCATTACCCTAGTGTTAGGGACTATGATAGTTAAGGTAAAGGTAAGAGGTAGGTTAGGTACCTAAGGCAAAGCCACCGGGGTTTCTACTAGAAACCAGCTATGAATTTTCCATTTTGCTCTGTACCGTATCCTTAGTTGAGCCCCTTGGTTAAGCATACCGGCATACGCAATACGCATGTAGCGACATCGGTTTAACCGTTCGAAGCGCATGTCATCAATCTGACAGGTCATGTTACACGACATCTGTGAAAAGGTCCCCTTCCCGCCGTATGGGTACCTTTTAGTAGCTGCAATCGCTTAGAGCGCCTCATCCAGATAGGTACATTCTTCTACATACTTGGTACTAGGTATATCACCACGTACTACCCACACATAACAGGTACCTAGGTACAATACCTTAGAAATTACAGGAAGAGGGGAGGAAGCTGGAAGATGATGCTAAGAGGTATTTGTTTACCTGGTATGTATAAACGTATTAGAGCTACCGGATATAGTATAATTAAGACTGAGAGGTAGATACCTGTAATACGATTGCCTGCGTCGTGTACAACGTACAACAGGAGATTAGTAGAGCGCATAAGGAGAAGCACGAGCGAGTTATTTTCTGACTGTTTTGCTGATATCTACCGTGTTGCAATTATGCGTTAGGTAGCTTTCCATTTAGTTGAGTAGCCGTTAGCCGTGTTCGATCACGACAACCCCGATATCAAAGGTATGGATATTAACGTCTATATTTATACTAAGATTCCAGTAGGAATCCTATCGGGAATGCTACTAACGAGCTGAGTCTGGACAAAGTCGTTATTGTGACAGAGAAGTTAATAAGTCGAATCTTATCTACCAGACCGAAGGAGGACTCGCGTCACTATCTCTGAATATAAAGAGGGAAAAAACCGTCTCCCTGTCTATCACCACATAACGGGTCGAGTTTTTTTTCTTTTTGGTTTGCCCATGCCCATCTCTCGGCTCGTCGTACTTGCGCTGCTAAGATGCTAAATGTAAACCTCCCATATGTAACTCCCACCAGCCAGTTCCCCATTGTCTGGATTTCATAAAAACCCACCCAGAACATCAAATTGACAAACAGCCAGACGCCAAACGATGCCCTGACGTGACCTCCCGAGTTCCTTTGCCCAGATGAGGGTATATACAACGAAAGTGACAGTAGCAACAACAGAACTGACTGAAAAGCGTAGCTCCGAATCGGGTATAATAATTAACACGTTATATGTTCCGGAGTAGGATACGAGTGCGATATTTGCTGATAGCTGTATGGTAAATCTCGGAAGGTCGAGAAGGCAGATGTCGATGAAATAATTATTGGCTGGCCATGTTCCAGAATAACGACCACGCATCACCTTTGCCCTGCCCCTGAGAGGCTAGGACAATGAATTATTACTGTAATACCAAAAGCTTTGGATTATTTGGATCAAAATCCAGATGCTGAACTTAAACACGCTCTTCGACAGCTTTGGGTCGGATAGAACGTTGCTCCATTTGGCGTTTCCTTTCGAGTTTAGCGTAATGAAGTCCGCAGGCATTGCACAATGTTCTTGCACCGTCGGGTCCTCGTCGCCATTCTGGGGTATCGATTCTGTTGCAGCTATGACACCGACCAGGAGGTGCTGCGCGCTATAATACGGTGAGTAAGTTTAAATGTTAATTATTAATTATCGGATGCAACAACTTACGCCTCTTCGCTTTTTGACCTCGCTAAGCCCGTATGGCTGTTTCATGCCATCGCCGTACATGCTTATATCGTCATCCCCTTCGTACGGCCCCTTACCGCGACCTTCCCGGGCCTTTTCAGTCGCTAAACTATGTTGTACTATTTCTCGGAGATTTTCGAGGGAACGCTTAATAAACTCTACATTTCCGAGCATGCTTGAAACCTCCTGGTCGCTCGGCAAGCGTTCTGGGATGGGCTGTCCGCCGTGCTGCTCCGAGGCAATCTTACTATACGCCTCAGCGAAATTGCAGACCGTTCTTGACGTCCACACCAACTGCTGTATTCGTCAGCTACGTCACAATGCGCAATCCAAAGGCGAAAGACTGACCTTATTTAAACAATCCTGGTAGCTCCACGACTCAAAATGTCGATTTAGAGTAGCAGAATCGTAACGGCCTCTATGCATCCCATACTCTTCGTCGCTGTGGAGAGGTGGCCGTGACTGATCGTAAGGTGGTAAGGAAGGACCAAGATGGTGTGGAGAGATTGGTGCACCAGGTAGTGGGTATTGACCTGGCGGGTATGGAATCTGAGGCGGAGGGTTCGCATGAGAATTTGATACCGATTCCGGCGGCTTAGCAGGATCACGCTGCTCTTGGAACGCATATGTTGAATTTGGAGGGCCAGGAGGACCTGGAGGACCTGGCGGTGGCCCGATATCTGATCGCTGAGAGTACCGGAAGAACTTGTCTTCATGTGCTGGAGGAACTGATCGTGATTCTGGTGGCGGCTCAGCTCTTAACGGGGGAGGAAGATTGTGAGCACCGGCCAATGTTGTAGGAGTTGGTGAATAATGACTGGGCTTAGCCCCCGAGAAAACTTCTGATATAGAAGGTAAGGATTGCCGTTGGGAGGGCTCCACCTCGTTCGGCGTTCTCCTACTCTCTCCCGGTGAAATCATGCCAGGCATCGGCGGCGGTGGTTGATGGTAAGCGGGTGGAAATGGAGGCTTATGAGGATGGTATACGGGAGCTGGATTCATTAAAGCGGTGGCTGCCATCATCGGCACTTCGCGATGCCGCTCTGCTGGTTCTGGAAGTCGCTGGCTATACGTATCAAGTCTGCTAGCGGAGGAAAAACCACTGATATGAATATATTGATCAACTTGAGTTCGACGAAACGATGCCGGGCACACTAGAGCGAGTAGCTCCAGATAAGAACGGACCTTTGCCTAGTGCCAGATTCACCCACTTCCATAGCGGGACTGCTACCAATGGCGATGCCAAAATATCCAACAGATCAGCTAGGACGGCTTATGCATCTAAGCTGGTCGGGGCACTCGCGGGTGCGAAGTAAGTAACCCTAATAACAACCCTACGGTTGAACTTTCCGATGTCTCAAGAGGCCGTGTGGATGCGAAACTATGTAGGAAGAGGACAAAAGTCGATTCGGGGTGGGTTCCGTGACACAAATTACCCGAACTGATGAGTCGATCCGAGTTCACGGCAAGCCTGAAGGAGTGCTCTCTAGAATGATACGAATATACGGAATAGCAGCGCAAATATGTATGTTTTCACTATCTTTAGATCCCGTTTAGTTAGAAAGGATTAGGAGTAATACAAATGTAGTGGGGCGGGAAGGGTGATTAGAATAAGTCTGATAGTGTAGTTACATCTTTCTTCTTAACCTGGACGTTAAGACTTCTTAAGGTCTGGAATACGACACTAAATCGAATCATCACGAGTAGTGGCGGCACGACTTTTGCCCTTAAGACATTCTTAGAAACAACTCTTACCTTAGCCACTAAGTGGGTCTGGAATATAGCCCGAAGACGATATTCTGCCTTTGGTCTTCGGATACGTGTATCGTTGTGGGCGTCTCGCTACTGTGTAATATACTCCGTCTCAGATTCCCGAGTAGTCGATGTTGCTTCTGAAGGGTGTCCTCCTCTTAGCTAGTCTGCTAGTCTAAAATATATCGAATGTTGCAACAGGGCTTCCGGGATGCTGTATCGTACAGATAATAGAAACAGATGGGTTGGCTGGTTGGATGGGTAAAGTATCAGAGTATCCAGCAGGATTGGAGATGACGTCTATGGTAGGACGCGGCAAGCGAACCAAGATTTCAGAGTGTCGATATTCTTCGGGGTTACTTAGACCTCGTGACAATCGAATGGGGAGGAAGAGAAGGGGGAGAAGAAGAAAAAGAAAGGTTCGAAGGTAACGACGAAAACGTAGGCGACGTGTTGTAGGTATTAAGAGAGTATTAAGAGAGTTCAGGTTCAGAGAAATAAGCACAGCAGATTGGAGCGAGATGTATGCTACCTACTACGGTATGATGTACCCTACCAGCATACATATGTAGATGGGCAAATAAACTATGCGTAACTAATAAGGAACACTAACCTGTGCACGTACATAACCCAGGACACCCCTGCCTGTCCACTCACTACCTGAGCTATGTATCATCTGTACACTACGTGCAGCAACCACAGTATGGTACGGAGACTTCGACCTTTGGGTCGCTTGAAGTGGGGGAGACGGGGGCACGAAATATGTAGTCAGGACAAGGGTAAGAATCTACATACAAGTCGGGGGGCTTCGCAGCCAGTCAGTTGGTACGGCGGATCTTCGCTTCTGTCAGAATCCCTACATAGTAGAGGTTAGGGAAGCAAGAGATTGCCTGAGAGAGATTCTGAGCCACTCTGCCACTCTGCCACTCCCTTCCACACCTTCGACTCTGAGCCTTCAACATGGCAGCCGAAGAACATCGCAGGCTCATCGAGAACAAAAAGAACAAAAAATGCTATGTCTGCGGAGATAGGCGTGGGTGCAAATCTGGCAATACCCGGGTAAGAAGGCACATAAAAGAGCAGAACAACCACGTTCAGATGCGAGCAAGGTTCACTACCGTAATGATATGGTCGGCTATGATGAGCTGGGAATAGTTAGATGACGATCTTTTGTTTCTCAAATATTATGGTAGCCCCAGTTGCATGGGACTTTGTGGGCGAATCTGAACGCGAACGGATCGCTCCCGACGGCCCAAGTCTGAGGGACCAATACAATATAGGTAATAGCACCTGGCTTGCGTAGGAATAGCGAGTCCCGAAACCTGTCAGGTCACGCCATTATCCTCACAGCGAAATAAGGTGGCACCACTTTTTAGCAATCCAGGGCTGCGCTACGGATCCGTAGACGGGTTAGACGGTGTAGGCTACAGGGCTCTTTGGTGGCGATGGGTCCCATCGACTTACCTAGCATCTCTTAACAACCCTTTGGCAGCTCAGATCGAAGATGAGATGGCGGTAGACCCTAGAGGATGACCAGGGGACCAGGGGGAGGGGTTCCGCAAAGGGAGTGTGCCTGATTGGGGAAGATGGCAGATGGGTATGATTCGGTACGCCTAAGGAACCCGACCTTCATGACGATCTCTCGGTGACAATCCGTAGGTAATCCAAGAAAGATAGATGCGGATGTTTTAGAGGAGCGATGGCACCAACTGGAGATATGATACCATACAACCATACAACCATACAACCATAGTATGTGAGATGTAAGATGTAGATAATTCGGAATCTGCTGATAATCTAACCTACATCATACATCCAATGCAGAATGCAGAGTGCAGAATTTCAAGTCGAACAACTTTGTTCTTGGGCGACGAAGGACCTGCGGGTACCCTATTGACCTAATAGATAATAGATACAAGGTTCTAAAGGAAGCTGCAGGCGAGCATCATTGCTTGTTCGGCGAAGAAGAAAGAAATTTTTTGTAAGATTCGGAGACATGGGGTGTGGACATGGGATGGGGATGGGGATTGGAAAGACGGGGTTTACGGAGTGAGAGAGAGAGACAGAGAGAGAGCATGGCGAGCGAAGCATGGCAGTCGTCCACTGTTGCATGGGCTGAAGTTACCTATTATTACCCATTATTACTACCTACATAGGTACATTACATAGGGAGGTTAGGTACCTAAGGTAGGTACATAATTCAGGTGTACAAAGATGTAGGTACGTTAGGTACATCGAGGTACCTTAGCCACATGTATTTCGTAGTTGGATTAGTATCCAGATGGATCTCTACTAGAATTATGGGTCTTTAATGGGTCAACTCCTTCGCATGGGTTTAGCTGTCCACTGCAGCCGTCGAAATCTACACTACCCTTTACTTTAGTCTGGTGGAGAAGTTGACAGGAACCAGGTATGGCCTTGCTGCAAGATGCCGAAAGTGCATGTACACTTGGAGTACCGCTCGATCCCCTTTGAGGCTACACCTGAAATTTTTGCCTGCCTAGGTACGTGTAATATATTAGCTACCTCCTACCTCTTACGCATGCAAGTACTTAAGACGCATCTACATATAGTGTAAACCATACCTAACCTATATACCTACCTCCTACATATGTACGTTCTTAACTTAGCCTGTCATGTGTTTCTTTTTGCCTTTCTCGACGAATCTATTTTCTTATTCCCATTGTATTACCGCTATCAATCGTGATTATCTCAAGTCATTACATGGTAATATAGAAATAATGTAGGTAGCAGAGGTAGTTACACTACGCTATTAAGCCCAAGACGCCCGACACCGCGCGTTGAAGATTCCAACCTAGATCAAACACGCATTCATCTATTTTATATGCTACAACTACATTTCCTTACGAGGGAGAGATTTAACTTGCGGTAATTAAGAACTAGGTTGCAACCGGACATATGATATCTATAATATTAAGTATCTAAAGACAAAACCCCGTGCACCGTATAAAATATCCTTAATCTGGTTGAGATAAAGCCTTGCCGGAATGCTTTGTGGGTAGGACGTGCTCAAACTTTTTAATAACCTCGGAAGTCTTCGAGTATGCCTATTTTTTTTTTTTTTTTCAGAGCTGAGAAAAATCCCCGGTGTGTGTGTATGGGCAAGATTAAAATCAGATCAGATCAGATAAATCGTAGATTGCGATAACGTTTACGCGGTAAAAGTGTATGCTACTCAAGTACCTAACTAAGTATAGAACGTACCTAACTTGAACATTAAGGTCGACAACTCGTGTTGCCCGCTAAATCCTGCCTTTTTTTTTTCTTCTGTTCGGTTTAAGACACAAGACGCATATTGAAGTAGATACATACATATGCAACCGTTAGAGTCGGGAATACATATCGGAAAATACATCTAAATATATTGAAAAGTAGGTACGTACTTCCGGTAGCGTACCTAGTGTATGTACATCTAGGTACGTGTAAGATGTACATAGGTAACCTGATGTAACTAACTCGGTATAACAATTCAAATATATTTGCATTTAACATCTACTTGCGCGCCATATATATCGCAATATATTTAACTCGCTTAATCTTTTACTCCAGCCTTTTTTTTTCTTCTCCTCTTAATAACTCATACCAACAACTAACCATCGATGCTATTGCCGATAAAAGCTAACGTCATCTTGTTGCGAATACATGATGATAAAGATACCTATGATAATAAATACCTAAGGCATCTCTCACTGCTGTTGTTAATCAGCCAATCCAAGATCACCATTCCATCCCGGGGTTTCGGTCAGATTTGGAGAACCATGTGGACAAATGGTTCGACTGCGGTTAGCGTGCAATTAATCGATCAGGACTTGTTCTCGGCTAGATTGCCTGCGCCCCCATGCTACTAAACATTTTTTTCGGAGATCTCGCATCCAGATTGGCTTGTTTCGACAGATTAGCGACCGATACGCTGAAAGGTAACTTGATGAGTTGAACCACCCAACTAGAATCAGTAACGAATATTTAGAAACACTTAGGTATACGTATGACGCATCCATTAAGACGGCTTAGTTGTGCTTCTTTACTTTACATATAGGTAGACGTGTCCGTCTGTACGCTGTTGAGCGAGCATATTACCGCATAAGCTATCGATCCCGGAAAATTGCGTCGAGTTGGAAATATAAAATATAATAAAAGTACAAGTCAATTCCCGAGGTATTGGTCCTGCATCTCCGCAGTCGAGTCGAGCCTTAATTACCATTTAAAAATCTCTAGACTCAATAAAGCTAAAGTATAAAAAGACTCGTGTTTATTCATCAACATTTCTCTAATATCTCCTAGGCTTAGACCGAGACACCTGGGTATTCTTCCGGATACTTTTAAAACGTGCTAACGACTATTTTGAGCATGGTTCATTATGCGAAATACGTGCAATGATTACGAGTTTTCGCATCACAATACGTAATTTGCCGGCGTTGCACACGACTGCGATGGGGTCCCAATTTACATGCTACTTGGAACCAAATTGCTATGCGTATGATACCCCCAGACAGGCAAATCACACTCGCGTGTACGTTTTTCTTGTTAGGTTTCGATCAGATTGCGGCAGGCTGCATCCAACTGATCTTGCACCCAAAACTGCCGAACCACAAATGCCCAGTGACTAACTCTTCGCGGAATATATCTCACCAGAAAGACCTAGCCTCGCAGGGCGAAGATCCGATCTTCGTGGCTGTACAAGCAGGGTACATACAGCGAGAGACCATCCAACAAGCTGTTAGCGTTGTATGCCGAAGGAATGCCCTTACTGGTTTATGCCCAGGTGTGCAGTTAGGTACAGTACCTAAGTTGAGCGAAATATGGAGCAATACGACTCGACCATCCTGCATCTCGGATTCTTCCCCTGAGGAAATGTGCATAACTCGCAAACTCCTATCCTAACTAGGTGCAAGGGGAAGAAGCTTACATAGATTAGAGCGTAGATGGGTTTCGGTGCCCAGAGATGCCC